TTTTTGGCTTATTTTAACACATAAAATTTAACGGTTTTTTTCTAATTGAAAATGAAGCGTCTTGATCCCTCTAGAAACCCCAAAACGAATACTCTGTCGAGAATCCTACACACAGCAACAACTACGCTCCACCAACTTCTTTCGAGGATCTCTCTCGAATAGCTAGCTCCGACTTTTAGCAGCTATAATCACTCGTGTTCGATTTNTAACGGTTTTTTTCTAATTGAAAATGAAGCCTCTTAATCCTTCGACAAAACTCCAAGACAAACATTCTGTCAAGAATCCTGCACATACCAACAACTTCTTTCGAGGATCTTTCTCGAATGGCTAGACTAGCTCCGACTTTTAGCAGCTATGTATCACTTAGTAATTTAACCTTTTATTTTCCTAATTAAAAAAATTAGCATTTTTTATCTTAGTGCACACAGGTGTTAAGTTTTAATTAATTAAATTAATTTATCTTAATTAAATTGTGATTGCCGTCCAACGACTCCAGGTTCACGTGAGGTTATCCATAAGTATACACCCTAGCGTCGATACCCGGTGGCGTATTCAGATTTCTTGCGTTTTTATTTCTCGTATTTTTAATATTTTGTTTGTTATTTGGGATTATTGTCGAGTTGTTGCATTTTTATGTGATATAAACATTACATTGGAACATCTATGCGATGTTTTCTGAGTGTCTGCTGCGATGAGCATTAGCAATCGCATACATATTTCAACAACATTACTTCAACTTAAAATGTAATGTTCCCGTATAACATCATATGCATATGTATGGAATATATCTTTGCACACTGGGTGTTGTTTTCGTAAAAAATAAACTATAGAATATAGAGTACTCACTCAAAAATGGCTTAAATGTTTTGAAAATTTGACTACTTCTAGAAAAGGCAATTATAAGTTTTCTGTCCAAATTTGAAGTCTGTACGAATATTTTAAACTTAATTAAAATAAATAAAAAAGTTGATGAGATAATAAAAGCATTAATTTCGTACATTTCTCGTTTTTCTTATGTTCTTTCCTGGTTTTGCTCAGATATTAGGAAAACTGCTTGGAAAATCAAAAAATTACCGACTAAAATGAATGATGCATTTTTAATTTGAAACGGTCATATAGTATATTTATTATAATACTCCAGGTGACGCATTGTTTCATTTATTTATTTTATTTTTATATATAAAATTGTTATTCATATATTTATTTACTTTACTTTTTTTTCTGTGTATAATTTCTCTACCAGCAATTTTGCTCCGATTTACAATGGTCGCACTTTTTCTGAAAGGAAAATCTGACTAGGAAAGTATTTTAGGGAGATCATTTTTCTATCTTCCCAAAAGTTTTCCCTGCAAATGTAAAAAACTGGAGAAAAACAAGGGAAAACGCATGAAATAGGTGAAAATCGGTACTATATTAAACAAATATATAATGCTTATTTAATTATTTTACCACAATATGACATATATATTATTGACATCACTATCAACGAATTGTTTTTTCGTTAACAATGGTTTATCGTTGCTTTCAAATATACATTAAATTACCTATATCAGTGGCTGCATCCGTCTTCATTATCCTAGGAAATCATTTATTTTTTGTGTTATGAGTTTTATAAGATGGTTAGGCATCCAAGATTTTATAAGAACAATTTTGTTTTGTTTTGAACAATCTTATATTATGTCTGTTGTATTTTAGTGGTGATACGTACCTGTGGTCACAGGTCATGCCAGAAGTTCAAACTATTTCCCAAAAATTATTTTTACAAAAGCACGTCGCACACAGTGGTTTGAAATGAATATTTAGTTTACATGAAATTAAAACCTCTTAAATATAACATCTAAAAGTCATGCAATAAATAAATTCTTATACTTTTGAATACGTGGAATGAAATTTTTTTTTATTAGTTTTTAAATCAACCACTGTAAGATGGTAGTAGGGGTGATTTTAAGTTTCACAAAACTGTCATATTTCACATCTAACAATACATTTTGAAGGGCGCTGAATTCAAATTCGTTTTCAATTTTGAAATCAACTCCTTAAATAATGGAACAGAAGGATTTTTTTTTAATTTTCACATAAATTTATATTTTTACAATGATGCTCTATTCCATTTATTAACATTAACTTATTTACAACATAATTACTTGTAAAACACAATATTTAATATTTGTATAAGTTATATTACATATACAATAACATCGTTATTCGTTAACATATACTTGTTGCATTTTTAAATTCTATAGCGCTACTGGAACCAGCTTTAAATGATATCCAAAATAACATAAGCAAATAAAGGGAAACCAAAGTCATTGGAATTAATTAATTAATATGTTGGCCAAGTGTTACTTTTTAGTTATAGCTATTTTAATAAATAAAATACTTAGCTTTTAATTATTATTAAATCACATTTTAGAATATAAATATATGTTTAAATATTAATTACCTTTAAGTACATTTTATAATATAACTATTACTATTAATCAATTTTTAAAATAATTGATCCGTAGGCAATAGCAGTTTAACACAAACTAAATAAATAGTGATAGATCGAAGTAATGAAATTATATATATTTTCAATCATAAATCTATTTTACTAATTACTATGATGTTTTTAATCAAACTTCAAATTATATAACCATATAAAAATAGCATTTATTACAAATTTATTATTTGACTAATATTGTATCATACTTTCTAAATTAGATTTTATTCATGCCAATTTACATTTTAGACCATTGACTATTCTAGACCACTATCAATTTTTGTGTAAAACAGGTAATAGGTACAAAACAAAGGAATTTAGGTGCACCTAGAGACTCAAGCCGTAGTAATGTTACATTTATAAATATATATTGTTATAAAAGAAATGCTACAACCCGTGCAGGAATCGTTTTTCATTAGCAATAATTAATCTTTGCGTACAGATGTACATTAAATTCCCATTATCTATATCCTACCTTTCCAACTTCTCATCTACAACAGTGATCCACCTAATGTGCGAAGTATATTTGTCTTTTTTTGATTTTTAGTTTTCAAAAATATAAAATAGAGGAACTAGGAGAGCAGGGCTATGTATGTTTTTAATATAGAGTATATATAAATATAAATAAAGTATAATTATTAAAAAATTAAAATTAAACATATTATGTAGACAAAAGTTATTGCATTTGTCAAATTGTGGAACATTCTATGTAATACACATATTTCATAAATGATAATCTTAATAATGATATTATTATGACATTACATATCTATTTAAGTATTCTTTTGTAGGTTACTATAATGTTTATAAAGTAAACTTATGTAAGCATTACAAAATAAGTATGTGGATAATTAGGTATAGTTAGTTTGAAAACAATTAAAACAAAACATCACAGTTTTATACATTAATTGTCAAGTACACAATCTTTACTACAGTCAGTTACAACTTTTATATAGATATTCTTAGCCATTAAGGTGTAATACCACCCAAATTACTTATTCAAATTTTAAATTGTTATATTTACATATAATTAAAAATATACCTCTTATTATATTATTTATAATAAAATCTAGGTAATAATGTACCTAAATAGGAAATTGTATAGTATTATATAACTGATCAAAAATGTTGTTATATCAAAAGTATAATATACATATATTTAATACATAATCATAAAAAACAAAGTATAGAAATAATTAATTTATAAATAAATTAATTAATACGGGTATAAGCCCGCTTTTGTTAATGATAAATTCTCATTAATGAATAAAATAAATAAAAACAGGTACAATTCAAACATACATACATAATATGTAGTTAAATAAATAGAAAATGTACATTATTGGTTCTCTCTGACAAGTTTTGTGCTGAAGAGTTTTTTACAATACCATATATCAACATATTTAATTATTATAACACAGAGTTCAAATGAAAAAAAAAAAGTCGAACTCTAACAAAATGACTAATAAAACATGGACTTACTCATATATGACAAAAGCAATGAGTTTACAATATTATGCAAATTAAAGTGACCAACCGATTTAAACTTTGAAATTATTGATTTGAAAAATTTACAAAATATAATTAATTAAAAATAATTAAAAAAATTAAATTAAAAATATTGGGCTATGTACTTTGTCCGAATAAAGTTTAATAAAAACAGATTCAATATTCAATTGTTTCGTTACTCATAGTAGGTATTATTGTTATGATTAAACTAAACAAAGTACAATATGTAAAACAAAATATGTTTTATAAAAACAGAATTGACATTATATAAACCGAAATTCGGAATAGGTTACATTTACAGAGTATAAAAATATACGTAGAGTCTAGGATTACTAAGGGGATTAGAAGTGGTGGTTTTATGTCTTACACACAAACAACATAGGAATTTAGACTTAATATATTCCAACGTACCGATTAGTCAATGGAACCGATAAGAATTCTGTAATGGATTTGAATTTATTGTCAAGTCTACTTGAAATCGAATTTTCTATATTATTTATTTTATCCCCAAAATCCTAAAAAAGGAAGTAATTTAAAAAATCTCTAAATTACTATGTTGCACGTATGTAAACAAAGACAAAAAAAATTACCGCTTTCAACCCCCTTAACATTATTCATAGCAAATTATTTATTGATATAATTTAAATAAGCAAAAGTATATACAATTTATTAATAAAACTTCATCAACTGTACATAACGATTGATGATCGTTAGCGACTGACATACAAAATAAATGCAGTCACCGATACCAATATTTTTGCACTAAATACTGATATACGAGTACATCGTAGTTACACTTTTAAAAATTGTCTATTATCTGAGAAAGTGTTTCAACATTATTACCTGGAGAAATACTTAAATACATTTTTTTTCCTTTTAAACTGGCAGTAGAGAATACGTCAGACACTTATGGTAGTTTTCACCACCATAAACACTTTCGTTAATGTAATTTTTTAACTGAGTTTATGGCTGAAATCGACAACGATATCTTATAAACGCTGTTTAAGATTCAATGTTGGTGAGAACAGTTTTGACAAACATTCTTACCACATAGTTTGTGGGTGGGATTATTGAGTTTGTTTGAACTAATTGAGATAACTGAATAAGCCCGAATCTCGCCATCGTCCTTCCGAAACATCCGAGCCAAGCGTCCACTATAATGCACGAATGATGGTCGTTGTTTTCGCTCACGTGGACTCTCAAGCTTACGTGCTATAGTGGATTTCCCATGGTTTGATAAATAGTTTTGATAACACAGGCATATATACTGTTTAGTACCTTTAAGCAGAGCCACAGTCGATTCACAAATATATTTTTCGTCTTCCTTTCTAACTCGATTAAAAAAAAGGTCACCAATGCGCCGTACCTCGGCACACAATGGGTTTTCGGCCTCAATGTCTTCCGGTGTTTTATTATCAGCTTTGGCTTTCTGGGCTTTGACGATTCTTTGGTAGTCGTGGGTACATGTGTGCGAAGAATTTGAAACCGACGGGGGTGGGGGCGATAAAGGCAGCGGCGATGACTTCGGCGAATGCAAATGGTGATCGTGGTAAATGACTTTAGTGGTAGGTGGGACACGTTGCCCAGTTTTTTCTAAGTATTGCTCCAGATAATTACAGTTGCCTACTTCCCCATGCGATGAATTATTTTCGGGAACTTTGACCATTGGTCTATTGTGTAAATGACAATAGCGTTTTTCCTGGTGTTTGTTATGACAGCATTTATTCCCTGCGTTCCTTTCTAACGGTGGAAATCCCGGCGGAGGAGGCTTTATGGTAGTTATTTTTATCCCATAATAATGACTGTCAAACGCTTCCTTAGGAGGTACATAATTTTCGTGACCTTTGACCATTGGTGTATTCTTTGACCATTGGTGTATTCTGAAGAGAACAATTGTGTTTTTCCTGGTGTTTGTTTTGACAGCATTTATTCCCTGCGTTCTTTTCTAACGGTGGAAATCCCGGCGGGGGAGGCTTCGTGGTAGTCTTCTTTATCCCACAATAATGACTGTCAAACGCTTCCTTAGGAGATACATAATTTTCGTGACCTTTGACCATTGGTGTATTCTGAAGAGAACAATCGTGTTTTTCCTGGTGTTTGTTTTGACAACATTTATTCCTTGCGTTCCTTTCTCCCGAGGGAAGAGTCTTCTTTTTCGTAATTGACTCGTCGGTTAATTTCGTCGGATGATGAACGGACATGATTACGGAACACTAAAGTGAATGCTGCAACACGAAAAAAAACATAAATGCATGTTATGTCCCAAACGATTTTTTTTCAAAATTTATGTTTTTGCATGCTCAATTTTGAGTTTAAAGAAATTTTGTTTTATAAATGTTATACTCAATATGTTCATACTCAAAAATTTTGTGAAATCAGAATTTACTTATCGTATTTACTTTTTATGTTATTGTTAATAAGTTACTTATATAACTTAGTTACAAAGTTATTTCGAACAGTTATATATTAAAGTAACTCAAAATTGACTTTTTAGAATTTTTTCATTCGATTTGTCATGGGAAAAATCTAGGGGGAAGGGTGCATGGAGTGCACCCCCTTAAATTTTTTTGAGGTGTAATACTATCATTTTGTACTCCCATTAATTAAAAATAAGCCCTGATTTGTTATGCAAAACTACGTCGGGTTGTATTTTATTTCATGCGCAGTTTTTTAATATACGACCAAATCGGATTTCCGAAAACATCTCTTATCATTTTTCGTACAAGTGATTCACCGTTTGTAAATGGGAATTGTGATACCACAAAATAGATTAATGGTGATACTACATAAATACATGATCGAGGAAATTGTTGCTATGCTATCAATAATCATTAGGGAAAAGATTTAAATGCATTTAAAAACAGCAAAAAGCGCTTAAATCGTTTAAAAATAACTTTAAAATATTTAAAAAAGTAATAGTAGTAGAGTGGTTTTAGTCCCACCTCTAGTGGTTCTAATTTAGGGAACTTTTAAACTTCTTTTTCTTTATTGTTCATTTAAATATATTTAAGTGATTTTTTGATATTTTTAAGCGCTTTTTATGGATTTTAAGTGCATATAAATCCATTCTTTAATGATCATTTATAGTCTTTGTGACCCATTTTACTTACGAGCATTTATAATAATATATATTATTAAATATACTTCTTCTGGATTTTTTTTATTTATTAGTTACTTTATTATATAAGTATGTAAATTTTAGTCTTGCACCCTTTGAATTTTAGTGAAATTAGGTGCATGCGGTTTATAATAACACATAAAGACACCCCCATCCCTTTCTCATTGGACTTTTTTTTTTAATTTTGTTATTTTAAAATGCAAATGTTTGAAATAAATTTATAATTATATGTACTACGTGGTTTGTTTATATAATATAAAAAGCCTGATAAAAAGTAATTACGATAGGTAAATTCTGATTTCATTAAAATGTTGAGCATAAAAATACATTTATAAATACAAAAAAAAATATCCTAAAATTTAAAATACCAACAATGTAGTTGGTATTTTAAACTTAAAATCACGATTTTTAAAAATCGAGCATTTTTAAGTTTTTTTACTATTACTTCCAAGGGAAGTTTAAGCGACTTTTTTGAAAGTACCATCTAATAAAACATGCGAAAACATACATTTTGAAGAAAAATATAAATTTAAAAAAATCGTTTTGTAGTTAAACTGTAGAACAGTACTTGTACAGACGTAGTGGACTCACAGACGGTGATGATAGTATTGTTATTGAAATCAGTGTAGCGGTGCATCAATTGTGGTATACGCTTTCTTCGGTAACGAACAGACGTGAGAACTGTATTGCCGTATCGGTTTCACTAACGATAATTTTATTATTATTGAAATCAGTATAACGGTGCGATAGCTGTGTAATACGCTTTTGTCAGTTAGTGAACGGACACGAGAGCGGAACATCTATACGGACGCGAGAACAGCAGTAATGCCAAATTGTCGTACCGGTAAATCTAGACTGACTGTGATGATATTGTCATTGAAATGATTTTGCGGCGTCTTATCAGTTGTCCGGCCCGCAGCAACACGTACAGCGGGACGAGCCGGGGGGGGGGGCTCCGCGACAGCGCCACCTAACGCCAGTGAGGGTAGTTTATAATATTGGTTTATAGTCTGGCCGAAACACATGGGGAAAGGGAAGGAGGTGGTTCACATATTGTGAAAATGTACAGAATTACAGAATGGCTAACACGATATTATTTTGGTACATATTATCATTGATTATAGATAATAAAATAATAAAGTAAAAACAAAATTATTGAATGATTAATAGGTACTCGTAAATAAATACATAAATAAATAATTTATGTGTAGAAATTAAATTAGTTGATTAATAAATAATTAACTAATAAATCACCTGGAGTATTAAGATATATGCACTGTACGACCAGCTTCGAATAAAAAATTCATCAGGTAAATCACAGTCAAAAAGTAAAACGCGACTGAATATGAAAATATAAATGGAGGAATATAAGACACAGAAAAAAAAATAAAAATTATTCAAATTCAGCGTTTTACATAGAATATAAAAAAAAATTGTTTTAATAGGTAGGAGAGATTACTTAAAATTAGTGATTATTAGATATAGATATGTTAAGGAATATAAATTATTTGGATATTATTTATGATCTAAAATGGATTTATATAAGATATTATTTTTAAAATTGGTTTGTAAATTAAAAATATTATTAAAATTATTTTTCTTTATTGTTGTTTAATGTTATTTTAGGTGTTTAATATTTCTAAGTCTGCATTGATATCAAAACTTGTATTATGGTTATTTTCTAAAACATGTTTGCTATCATTATATTTTAATTTACAGATGCATTACACATTTTTTTTTGTACAAAACATGTTACGATTATGTTACAGAGCCATTATAATTTACAAGCGCCTATAAAATATGTTTACAGAACGTGTGTGCAACCCGGCCTTATAGTATTATAACATTGTATTGTATATAGCGATACACGGACGGCGATGACATTATTGTGTCGCCTGTAGCAGTTATTGAGATGCGCGTGTGCACGGCTATTTGGACGTTCACGCAGTACCGTCGTTGTGGGCATCATCCCTCGCGACCGTTAACGGCCGCGCACAATCGGACGCGCGCAAAGCCCGGACCCCCATGATGACGCCGTTGCGGCGCAGTACGGCGTTCTCGATTTCGGCGGCCGTACACGCGTAAACCGACCATCGCCCGGTCACGTCCGTTCCCGCCACACCCGCCACCGGTGGTCGGTTGCTACCCCCGAAAACGTCGCTGCGGCATCGGGTATTAGAAAACGTCGGTGCGCCGCCGCCACGATTCTCAGTATTGCTCCGCAACTGAACCCCCGTCGGTTTCGGCGGTAGAGTGGTTGCCGCGGGAGCCGGGTACTCAGGAATTCGTTGCAGCCAATCGCCGTCGTTGGCCGTATCCCCGCACCACGACGACCGCTGTTCCGCGCACCGTTCGTGCCACACACCCTTGCATCCTGCGACCGGGCATACGAATAGTCATATTATTTCAACAGCGCGAAAACAAAAAAGCTGTCCTAGGATAATGGGAATGAGTGCAGCCACTGTTGTTGGAGGGGAAGTTGGGAAGGTAGGATACAGAAGGGAATTTAATGTCTATCTGTAAGCACCGCTAAACCTATTGCCAACGAAAAAACGATTCGGATCGGAGTTCAGTTGATAGTGATACTTTGTCAACAATATATATGCCATATTATAGTAAAATAATTAAGTAAGCTTTATATATTTTATTTCATTTTGTTTAATGTTGTACTGATTTTCCCGGTTTTCCTACGTTTTTCTCGGTTTTTTACATTTGCCAGGAAATCTCCTGACAAAATCGAAAAACGACCTCTCTAATGTACTTCCCCAGTGAAATTTCCTTTAAGAAAATTGCTATCATCATAACTTGGAGAAAAATTGCTGGTAGAAAAGTTGCCCACAGATAAAAAAAAAATTGTTATTATATACTTATTTATTTCGTGCACTTTCCCGCGGAAAAAAAAATCTTGAAAAAATCGAAAAATTGCCTTCCTAAAGTGCCTTTTTACACATGAAAATCTGAGCAAGATCTCTAGGAGAAAAAAAGGCCACAGAACCAAAAAAAATAAAATAAATATCTTTGTAAAACCATAAGCTTCTTCACTCCACTCGGAATCTAAAACATTGAAAATAGCGTAACTCATAAAAAAAAAATTTTCTCTGCAGTTTCTGTGAAGACTTACCGACACATTTCACCATGACGGACCACGGCCATAACTTGGCCGACTTACAAGCCGAACATTTTTTGAACAAACCCAACGTCTTATTGGACTTCACTAGTACGTGTCCGAAACCGTCGGAATCGGTCGTGGCTGTACACGTGCTGAAAATTCGCGAAAACGGCATTATGTACAATGTATATATAATATAATATTTATGTATCACAAATCACTAAAACCAGTACCTATCATATAATATTAGCTAGATATGCGTCAATTGTTCGTCGAAAACTATTCGAGTACGGCATATTTATTTTATTTATTTATTTATTTACGGAGAAAAAATCTTCTTTTTCAGAAATTTAAGTAAAAATATAACAGTTGTAGATATAAAGTGAACTATAAATATGTGTGTACAGTATAAGAATAATTTAAAAAATACAGGAAGTAATATGAATAATAATAATAATTACAATTACAATTTTTCATGCAAAAAGTATTCGAATGGGTACGATAATATTGTTCGCGCGAAAATTGAATTCGAACATGATCTATACGTCAGTCTGCCAGTGACAATATTAAATTAAAATCTTATCGATGACTTAATGTTATAGATAGGCCGGTGTACAAGGGGGAGGGATTTAAGGGGTTCAATCCTCCTTTTTTTTCAATGAAAAAATGTTTTCGAAATTGCATGCAAATTATGATGAAAGTAGATTTTTAATAAAGTATCAAAATAGTTTATATCAATAAGGAGGATAAATACAATTTTGGTTTTATTTTTATTTTATTACTAGATAGTAGGTAAGTATACATCGTTATTATTGTTATCCAATAGTATAAATTACGTTATCATTTAGGCTGTATTCACTAAAACAATATTAAATGTCAAATTTAGTAATGAGTACCTAAAAGGCTAAGAGTTGTCTTAGAATAATGCAGATAGGTGCAGCCACTGTTATAGGTAATTTAATGTGTACCTGTAAACGATAAACCATCGAAAAACCATCAAAAAAACGATTCTGAAAGAAGTCCGGTTGATAGTATTGCTTTCCCAACAATATATATGTCAGATAAAGGTAAAATAATTACATAAGCATTATATATGTTCTTTAATAATATTTATTTAATATATTGTACCTGTTATCTCGTTTTTCCTAAATTTTTTTCTGGGTTTTTTCATTTATTGGGAAAATTCTTCGCAAAATCAAAAAAATACTTCCCTAAAGTACCACGCCAGTCAGATTTCCTTTCGAAAAAAGTGCTATCTTTATAAATCGGAGCAAAATTGCTGATAGAAAAGTTGTCCACAGGAAAAAAAAAGCCATACTATTTTTAGCTAATACCTACATTTCTTACATTTTTCCGCTTTTTTTTCGGTTTATTCCATTTCAATGATAAATATCATTTTAAAACCAATATATCCCTCGCTCTATTTAGAATCTAAAATGAATGTTACGAAACATTAACATTCTTAATGAAAAATAAATAATCCTACGATTGAAAGAATGTAAACAATTTTATTATAAGAGTATGAAAGTGTACAATTTTAAACCTCCCTGAAATATTTTTTTTATAAACGCACCTGGTTATCGAACTTTATGTGGATTATCTAATGGGGTATGGAATAGTATTAATAATAGGTATCTGCAATACTAATACTCACATCATACAAACCCATGCAACATTCAAATAGTTAACATTCAACAGTATTTTATCCGTTTCATTTTATTTTAAATTTTGTATTTTGTTTTATATTAAATTATTATGACTTTGAAATAATACAAAAAAGTGACAGGGGTGCAGATATACTCGTATATGAAAATCATATGTCTTATGCATACATGTTTTATACATTAACATGCATATTAAACTTTACTGGTTGAAAGTATTTCAATAGATAGTGGATACGTACAGACATTTGACATTTCTCTAAAATTATTATAATTTTTTTACAAACCATTTATTGTCGTATTCGAATAATTTTCGCACGAACAATTGTCACACGAAAAATCACCACGCAAACTATTTTCAGCGAACAATTGACGTGATACCTAGGTTAAAAGCTCTAGGCATTTGCAATGGTGATAAGTATATTTATATGTATCCTAATATCCAGTTTTAATTAAAACACTATTGTCAATTCATCGAGACATGCATTTAACAATTAAAGAAGTTATCAATGAATTAGTAACACAATCTAGAAAATAAGTTTTTTTTTTTTTTTTATAAAAATAAACTATTATAATTTAATATTACATGTTATCGTTGGGCATAAAATGATTATAAAATTATTTTGTTTGTTGAAATATGTACATTATTGGGTTTTTTATTACTCTTTTAAGTCTGTAGTTATAACTCTTTAAACAACAGATGAAATATTTTATTTGTAATAAGTGAGTCATAAAATAATAGATACTTATATTATTCTAGCTTAACAAAAACTAGAAAAAAAATTAAGCGTCCCACTCCCCGAAATTTTTTTCTGGCTACGGTACTGTATCAAATAATAAAAAGAGACTAGAATTTGTATTATGCATGTTTACCTAAATAGTATTAATAATATAATAATAATAATTAACTGCCACGAACTTTGTAAAGATTTTTATTTTTATTATAACTATGTGTTTGATTATTGGGAAAAAACTGTGTTAATTTTACTAACCCCCTCCAGAGTAAAATTGAACGTACGTCATTGCGTTAACCTTCGGTTATTGTATACCTATCATAATTTATGTTTACCTAGTTTTTATTACACCTCATTGTATATGTATACATATATATTATACATGAGTAATTCTACTCAAGAAATTCAAACATATGAGTAATTATATAAATAATATAATTTATCAATGGGCAATGATTTATGTAAACTATTACTAGTCGATGATTAATACAATTGTGTAGTCCATTTTAAAACCTTGGCATTTACTAAGTACGTTATCATTTGTATCTGAATTTAAACAAACAAAATATTTTTAAATATATAAGCTTATACAGTGTGTCTCACCATGTTCGACGTATTTTTCTAGAGCTATTAATATTAAATATTTTTCAATTTTTTTTTAATCGGTTTGTCTTCGAGAGGAATATTGATTTGGAAAAAAATTAAATTTTCATTTTCATACCCGAAACACACAAAAAAAAAAAATTACTTTATTTATTAATTTTATATAATTTTAAAAATAACCATTTTGTAAAAAATATTATTCTAAAAATTGTAATGTATCACACATTCATATCCAATGAATAGTTCCTTAGTAAAAGCCATTTTAATTTCTAAAAAAAAAAGTGTAAAAACAATTAATATTAAATAATAATCACAATCGTCACACGGTAATTCCTTATCACAGCAATGATAGGATTGAGGAATGTATTAATTTTACAATGATGTTCTTTTTATTTATAATTTTTTTTTTTTTAAATCTCAGTCTGTAGGTTGAAAAAGATTGAAAGATTAAAAATAAGGTTGTCATTGACAACCGTTTTTATTTATTTTTTGTTATTATTAAGTTTTTATTATTTTAATCTTTTTTAAACAATCATTTTTGTCATGAAAACGCATATTTTTGTAATAATTTTACCATAATTTGAAATAAACTATATAAGGTCTTGTTGACAAAGCAACATTATCAACTGAACTCCGCTCAGAATCATTTTTTCATTAGCAATGGTTTATCGTTACTTACAAATATACATTATATTCCCATCTGTATCCTACATTATCAACTTTTCATCTACAACAATGGCTGCACCCACGTGCGAAGTATGTCCGTCCTTTTTGTAATATAAAGTACAATTATACGTGAAAATAAAAAAAATTACTTTTTCATATAATTGTAGTTCTTAAAACGTAATTTTATCTAGTGTATTCATTATCATTTTATTTCAACTATAATCTTAACTTATAAGTTGTTAAAATATTAGGCAAAATAAAGTATAATTTGCAAAAAAATTATAAAAATTGAAGTATTTATATATTTTAAATTTAAATTACATTAAACTAGAAAAAATATATAAAATATTAGTGTCACTATACTAAAATAAAATTCAATGATTAAAATTTGAAAAAAAAAAATTACTTTTAATCGGGTATTTTTTATTTTAAAACACTGTAGGTCGGACCGGTTTAGAATTACAATTATTGTATGTATTGGAACTGGGCGCCCATTAAGCTTGGCATTATTAAAACCACGCGCGCTATACCGCCACACAAATAGTTACTCCACTACTCTCCTCCGATCAAAAACTTAAAAGTAGAATATCTCGTCAATGGACTAACGAAAATTAAAAATTTAAACAGCAAAATTTATTTTAACTACTACTCCATCCATTTATGGAATTTGTAATATAGGTTGCTATTTGAAAATCAAAAGTAGGTAATCATTTCACCCCCAAAAATTAGGGTGACAAAAAATATTATGAATGTTAAATTTTAGAACAGCTTTTTTCTTAAATTTTCTTTAAAACAAATATCAAAAAAAGTTAATACTTTCCCAGATAATGAGAGTCTTACGGTGGATTAACCACCCCATATAGTGAACGGTAAGTGGGGCTGGGTTAACGTTACCAAAGCTCTACCCATAGAAATTTAACTTTCCCCCGAACGGGTATACGGTAGGATCTCCTGGCTGCAAGTTTTTACAGCTGATCAGTAATTTACAGCCTCACAGGAGTTGAGTACTAATTAATTGTATTAGCACTTTTGAAATCCAATTTGAGAGAGGATTGGGGTAATGTACATCCACAAGCATGATCCTTAGATATTAAAGAGCATGTCAAAATTCATATTTTAGGAATGCCGACTTAGGCTAACTGAAAGGCAATATAGCAAAATTAATTTTACATCGATCACATTATATTAAATTGAGATTAGAGTTTAATTAACACAAATAATTAAATTATTTAATTATTATATCTAAGGCAGTAGTACTTTGCTATTTTTCTAAAAAAAGTCGAAAAAATGTTACAGCAGTGTTAGTTCTGGCTTTTTTTTTTAAATAGCTATGCTTATTTTGTATGACAGTTAAAGAAAAAAAACACACACAACTCTAGGAATTTTGTCGTTTATTTTTAAATTCCATTTTCAACCCGTATACAACGTTACAAGATATAATTTAGGGCTGCCATTTATTTGAGGTTAAAAATCGAGACATACAATTTTAGGAGACACGTCCCCTTCCCGAATTTTTTTTATTTATTGATTATTTTGATTATTTTAGTGCATTTTATCAATCTAAAAATTATGTACGTTACACTAGCACCTCAACTTAAACTCTTTTCTTTTTAATTGGTTCCTTACTTTAGTAACCTATTTGTAATCATTCGTAACCAAAAATTCGGAATTCGTAACCTTAACCAAGTACCAGAAAAACCGTTTTTCCCATACAGGTACTGGCGTAACGTTACTCCAGCACCCGCACATTATAATAATCTATTTAGAAAGGTCAAAACTATTCTAGGCTTTAGTAACCAAGTTAAAAGAAAATAGCTTAAGTTGTGGTGCCAGTGTAACGTACCTATAAAAATTAGTTAAATATAATTATAATTATTAATGGCTTCAGCCCGAATTTTTTTTCTGGCTATTGTACTAATAGGTACCCCTTTGGAACTTAGTGAAACTAAGGCAGCTATCGTGGCATTAATCGAAATTTAATTACAAACAAATTATTGATGGAAAATGCTCTGTATTGGGAATTTTATGTACTAAATCTTAAATCTGATATAACTACAAATTTAAAATTTGATAAAGTTATTGAAAGTTTTGTCCGTTTAAAAGCAAAAAGAAAACATTTTGGACGAAATAGTTTGTTTATAGTAACTTTAATTTATAGTTTTATTTTTTGTTCATTCAAAATAATTCAAAAACGTTAAATTTGAAAAAAAAAATTGAATATTTTTGTTGTTTATTATATTTGTATACAAATAAGAGTACATTTTATTTTTTTTGGCTATTTTTGTTTTACTCAAAAAAAAGGGGAGCGGTTTTTGGGGAGCGGTGAAGTGGTAAAATTGTGATGTCCAGGGGTGGAAAAAGTATAAATACAGCCCTGATCGGAACGAATGGCAGACCTAGTCTAATAGTATTCAAATATCATAATTGATATAATACTTACCGATTTGTTTCGATTTCAGACAACTGAAGCTGCCGCAATAATTGATATTCCATATTATCGTATAGAAAATTGTAGATACTATAAATATACTATATTATTATATTGAGTGAATATCTACACGACAAAAACGCAAACTCTCAAAATATTATTATTCTTATATTATTTTGTATACGTACAAAATCACGTAATTGTAAAACTGACCATGTTATAAAAAAAAAAAATAATAAAAACTGTTATTACCTACATAATTTTATATAACCAAACATAGTAATATATTAATATTATTAAATAAATAATCTATAATTCTCCCCTCTTCGATTTAAATTCGATAATTATATTATAATATAATTGTTGTCGATTAAAAAATAATAATTTATATCTATATAGCTAGTACCTATACACTGATTTCCTCGAAAATTAAACTAACATTACTTCATGAATATT